GCTCATGGTTTTGGATACTTGCTTCCTGGCTGGAAAAGGTTATGGGGATGTCTTCAAAGACTGAAACTTGGCTCTGAAGGGAGGCTGGTGAAGTTTTGGTTGCATGGTAAAGGGAAGAGGGGTAGGTAGGTGGGGTGCGGGTGTAGGGAGACATCCCTGGATAGGGACAAAGAGAGTGAGGGCAGTGGCAGTCTGCAGGGCCTGTTCTCACAAGCAGGAGCTTCCCTTACAGTGGACATCAGGGTACCTTGGTGGCCTGGAGCTTGCATCTTCCCCTTGTTGGGCCTGTGCTTGGTGAACTTGGCATGGAAAGCCCTGGGGTCTCTAATTTGCTGCATGCAGGCCATTCTGCTGTGTGTGTCTGATTGTGTTGCTGCTGCAAATCACTGCCCGGCTTCTTTGCTAGTTGATCCCAACTCAGTCTCCACTTGGGGTAGGTGTGTGTGGGGATGGATTCAGAATCCTTTTTAGGGAAAAGTATTCCTCACCAGCCCGAGTCATTGTTGTCTTTGATAATTGGCAAGTTTTCTGAGCAGCCCACTGTCATCCTGGAGGGGAGAAAGAAAAGGGAATTTTTTAAACTGAGTTATAGAGCACTGATGTGTGAGGCAGGCAGGAGTCCAGCCACCTGGCATGGTTAGAACACAGGACTCTGCAAAGCCCCTTTCCACTCTACATTGCATTTCCTGGAGAAGCAGTGATGCAAGAATTACAGTTCTTGCTCCACAGACAGATGCATAGAAGTCTCTCTTTACCACCCTGCTTATTTGTGGTGAAATACTCTGGTTCCTAATTAGTGAGTTTTTAACCACTCAGAAGAAATAACATTTTTCATGCTGTTTTGAGAGTTTAGTATTGAACTCTCCAACAGTCGGATCTGGAAATCTTTTCCCTTTCCAGTAAGGAAATGGGGCTTAAATAAAGTGACTTGCCTCGAATCACACAGCTCTCCGTGGCAGAACCTGCAGACTCTGATGCTACCTCTTAAGCAGCAGTGCTGTATGTACATCCCTCACTCAGGCAGTGACTGTCCTGTTTTTCCAAGGCTGTTAGGCACCAGTGTCCCCTTTCTCTAAAGCATTGACCTCACCTTTTTTCTACACTTTGTGGCTGTATCCTGTAGGACTTAAAACAAGCAAAAATCAACCCACCCTCTCTGACTTTCCTCTGCCTCCATAAAACTAAGACTTCCTGGGCCAGACAGCCTGGTTTTTTCAGTTGCAAATTTGAGTCTGTTTCCACAGATCATCTTTTCATACCATAATTGAAACTATAATAAAGTGAATGTTCAGTATCAGCTGCTTGAGGAGATGACTGGGCTGGAAGGAGCTGGGCAGGGCACATGCTGTTAGAGGTATGATTTCATGGTCAGCTTCCTCTACACTTTGGTTGTTGACCACTTTCAACATGTGCCCTAGCCAAGCGGTCACTCTCCTAGTGACATGCTTTCCAAGTTCTCTGATGCAGGGCTTTTTCTTTATGTAGATAATCCTTTATGTAGATAATTGCAGAAGTCACTCTACTTTCTAAAGTCCCTTGTGTCCTAAGGGGAAATCTGGAGGACATCATTCAGGAGGTAAAACAACTTATGGAGGTTGGTACCTGAGGGATTCAGGAAAGCTGATGGCACCTTGAAATGAGATCAGGGGATTAGGATGTTGAGGCTAGTGAAGGGGAGGCCTGGGACAAACGTGGGTACTCACAATTTTAAGAGCAATTTGATCTAGAGCACATCTCCCATGAGGGTAGATGGAGTTCTTTGGAGAGCAGGCTGGGTGAGAAATGAGTTCCTTGTCATCAGCATGGTCACAGAGCCAGTTGTTTGGACCAGGCATGGTGGCATATACCCGTCATCCCAGCGACTTGGTAGGCTGAGGCAGGAGGATCACAAATTTGAGGCCAAACTCAGCAACTTAGCCCCTGTCTCAGAATAAGAAAAACTGAGGATGTGCCACAATGAGGGTGTGAGGGAGTACCCCTGAGTCCACTCCTCAGTAGCAAAACAAAAAACCAAAAAACCTGCCAGTAGTTTGGACAGTGTAGATGAGATTCATTCCATTTTGGACCTAACTCTGATGGGATTGTTGACATTGCTGAGACAGCATCACTCTTCCTGGGCATATGGGTTTATTGAGAAAACATTCACTGTACCTGCTATTTTGTGCCAGGTTCTGTGTTGGGTTGAAGGAGCAGTTGGAGGTTTTCAGCTTAGATAACTGAGAAGGGGAGACCATTGAGGGAGAAGGAAGGGTGCAGAAAGGTAAAGGAGCATGCCTGGGGCTTGAACAGAACCCAAACTGTCTCCTCTAGTAGGCTCTCATCATTATCTCTGACCCCTGCCTAGAGATGCTGTCCTCCCTCCTGACAGGAGAGGCACCAGGCCTGTGATGTGACTGACCTGACAGAAGGGGCTTAAAAGTTACAGCAGCTCTGATACAAGTGGCATAATCTTCCCATCAGGATGGCATGGAGCTGGGTGGGTGTTTGCCTGGTGAGCGAGTGGAGAAGGGACCTTACCAGGGGAGCTGCATGCACGGAAAAGCATGCTCCACTGGGCAGCACAAAGTGCTTTGTTATGGAGTCTCGGTTGGTTAAGAGGGTGAGGTGGCAGTTGAGATGTGTAGTTAGGGGTCACTTTGTGAAAGTCCCGGAGTGCTGTGCACTTCAGTGTTTCTCATCAGCCAACAGGTGAGATTATTCTGGAGAATTGATTTGGATAGCTAAGGACGAGGCAGGACGAGGCAGGGCTGGTGAGGAAGTGGCTGTTGTTGCTGATGCCAAGTGAGGGTGAGGGGCTAACGGAGCTCCCAGCAGAGAGGGAGGCAGGAGTGAGGTCTCCACATGAGCCAGGCTTCTCTGCTGATTGAGCAGGGACACCCTACAGCCTGCCAGAGCTCTTCTCCAGGTTACTGTTCAGCAGGTGACAGAGCAACTGAAGGTGCCTTGGACCAAGATGGAGGAAGGAGGAATTTGCTAAGAGTGCAAAGCACTGAGATGTAGCAGGAGCTGTTTCTGCTGGGTTAGGAGATGGGGCTGTGCTAGGAAGCATCTCTGTTGGTTGACCTCTTTACCCTTTCCCTGAGTTTCAATTGGCTGGGCTTGCCAGTCGGCACAGGGATAGGTACTGGCTGTTCCTTTACACCAAGGCCTTTTGCTTTTCAAAAAACAATGCCCTCCCATTCCCGGCCCCCTTGTGGGTGAGGGCTAGCACTTATTAGATTCATCATCTGTGGGACAAGGTCTTTTGCTAGTGGGAGAGTGTAGGCCTTCTTAAGGAGAGAGAAAATGGAGGCTGAGATTACTGATTGCTTTGATCCTCAGTTTTGTGTGTCTCAGTCCTGTTACCTCTGATTTGTCCTGGACAGGCTGATTCCATCAGCCTGTGTTCCTCCCCATCTATCCCCTACACACACACACACACACACACACACACACACACACACCCCAGCCCCCGCTTCTTTTTTATAGTGCTTCTAAAGGAACCCAGAGCCACATGCTCCATCATGTCTAGCCATTCAGGGTAGGTTTCTGCACCTCTGCTGGGGACTAGAGCTCAAGAGGCAGCCCGCTTGGTTTTTTAAAATTAGTTATATATAAAACTTTAGGATACATTTTGACATAATCACAAAAACATGGAATATATTTTGCTCTAATTCAGTCCCTGGCACTCTCTCCCAGCTTCCCATGCTTTCCTCCCTCTACTAATCTTTCTGCAATTTATTTATAGTGTAATTTTTTTTTTTTTGAGTACCAGGAATTGAACCCAGGGGTACTTAAACCACTGAGTCATGTCCCCCAGCCTTTTTAATTTTGAGACAGAGTTTCACCAAGTTGCTCAGGGCCTCACTAAATTGCTGAGGCTGTTCTTGAACTTGGCAATCCATCTTCCTCAGCCTCCTGAATCACTAGGAATTATAGGTGTATGCCACCCATGTCTGGCTTTTATTTTTTCCCCCAGTATCTTGTGGGTCTGTATAGTTATGTTGGTATTCACTGTACTACGTTCCTGTATGTACATATGAAACTTTGGTCAGATTTCATTCCACTGTTATTCCCTTTTCCTGTCCCTCCTTTTTCCCCCCCTCAGTGCCCCCCCCCTTTTCCATCTACTCTACTGATCCTTTTTCTATTTTGATGACGTTATCTCTTTTTTCCCTCGCCCCCAACCCCTTATTTTGGATTAGTTTCTGCATATCATAGGAAATACTTGACCTTTGTCATTTTGGGACTGGCTATTTTCACTTAGCATGATATTCTCCAGTTCCATCTGTTTACCAGCAAATGCCATGTCATTGTTCTTTATGACTCATATTCCATGTGTGTGTGTGTGTATATATATATGCACCACATTTTCTTTATTCATTCATGTATTGGAGGGCATCCTGGACTGGTTTCATAGCTTGGCCTATTGTGAATTATGCCTCTATAAACACTGATATGGCTGTGTCCCTGTAGTATGCTGATGTTAAATCTTTTGGATATATACCGAGGAGTGGGATAGCTGGGTCACATGGTTCTGACCCATCCCTAGTTTTTTGAGGAGTCTTTGTACTGCTTTCCAGAGTGGTCGCACTAATTTCCAGTCCCAACAGTGTACTTTTTCCCTTACATCCACATCAACATGTATCATTGTTTGTATTCTTGATAATTGTTATACTACAATGAGATGAAATGTCAATATTGTTTTCATTTGCATTTCCCTAATTCCTAGAGATGTTCAACATTTTTCATGTATTTGCTGACCATGTGTATTTCTTCTTTTGAGAAATATCTGTTCTTTTGCCCACTTTATTGATTAGGTTATTTGGTTTTTTTTGTTTTGTTTTTGATGTTGAGTTTTTCTTTTTTTTTTTTTCTTCTAATTTTAACTGTAGATGGACACTATGCCTTTCTTTATTTTTATGTGGTTGTGGTTCTGGAGATCAAACCCAGTGCCTCACACATGCTTGGCAAACGCTCTGCCACTGAGCTACTGGTATTAAGTACTGGTATTAAGCTTTTTGAGGTTTTTTTTTTCTTTTCTTTTTTTTTTTTTTGGTACATTCTGGATCTGAATGCCCTGAGGAGCAGGTAGCATTAATATCTTCTGTCAGTCTCCTATTCTGTAGGCTCTCTCTTCACACTCCTTGTTTCTTTAGGGCAGCTCTGGTTTTGAAGCCTTAGTTTCAAAACTTTGAAAGGGTTATAGGTGTACACAAACACATCCCTGCCATCCTTTGGGTGGCTAGAATTCCAGGGCCAGGTATCTCTAAGTTGCCTTGTCTGTTTACCCTCATGGGCCACACAGTGTCATTCACGTGTGTTACAGTGTGACGATTATGGATACACTGTAGCTCTGGAGCCTGCATCTCTGTGCAGCATCAGACACTCTGGTCAGTATTCCAGGCTTTTCAGACTGTGTGGTCTATCACTGCTACTCCCCTCTGCCATTGTAGCACAGAAGTGCCTCAGACGTGGTGGATGTTGTGTTCAATAAAACCAGAACAGGACCATATCTTCCATCTTTTGCATTAGACTGCAGAGATGACATACCCTTTGACTTAATCGTAGTGGCAAACTATCTTCCAATCTGCTGCCTAGGCCTATGTATCTTTCTGTAGTGGCTTCCTGTGCGCTTCTCCTGTGTGAGCATTAAGGAAGAGGATGGTGGAGCCCCTCCAAGAAGGAACTTCAATTTTGAGTGACAGGTGGGACACTGAAAGGGGAGTACAGTTGTGGTTAAAAATTGAAATATAATGCGGGGCTCAGAAAGGTTCGCAGTGATAGCCCTCAGAGGAGTGAAGTGCTGAAATGATTGGGGAACGCTCTAGGGAGAAAGCAGCTCTAGAGGCTTAGAAGAGGCGGGACAGTTCCTTCAGGAAATGAATAGCTCAGATGGTGGGTGAAGTTGTGTTATGGAGGGAACTTGAATGTCATCACATATGCATGGAGGCCAGCTTGGGAAGGATCTGAGGTGCCACAGAGTGCAGGCATTTTTCTCTGGGCAGTGAGCAGCCAGTGGATGTTGTATTCAATGGGGTAAAGTCACAGATGCATTCAGAAATATCACTCTGGTCTTGGGAAATCGCATCTGTACAAATTATCTCTCTTAAGTTTAGTCTAGACTTTTTCACCAAGGGATGGGTAACTCTTGGTCCTGGGGTTGGAAAGCAAAACCCAGAGATTTGGATGGTTTTTCTAGCCATTGGCTTTAGTGGGTCAGTTGAGTGCCTCATTTTTGTTTTTGAAATGACAGAGCTTGACAAATCTTCCACTTCAGGCTTTTTTGGCCTGTGATCCTGAAGATCATTAGGAAGGGCAAAACAAAGTTTTAAAAACATTTTGTCTGAAGTCTACCTTTGGTATAGGGCCTTGGTGTGTGATGGAAAAATGAACAGAGACTATGCCCCCTTGCTTTGGAATCAAGTCACAGGGCACGGTATTGCTGTGTGGAGCAGACTTGCTTCCCTTCTCTGTGTGCCAGGCTGGGGTGCCGCCTACAGGTGCTGGTCTGTACCCTCCAGGAGCCTGCAGATTACTTAAGGCAGGTGGAAGCCGGTACCACTTAGGTACATCACAGACTGCTCACGGCCAGGCCTCACATTGTGTGGGGTGCGGGACTGCTGTGAATCAGACCTGGCACAAGGGCCCACAAGGACTGCTCCAGGTAAACATACTTCCTGCTCTGCAAAGTGTTTTTCCTTGGGGTTTCTAGGCAGGTTGAAAAGAGCTATATTCATAGATCTTCAGAGACCATTGGTGACAGCCTAAGGCGCTGGGAGCTGCTTTCTCTCAGTGAGACTGTTAATCTGTGAAGGATTTGAAGGAATCCTAGAGAAAACGTGCCTTGAGGCCTGTTGGCTGTGGTCTTTGGTCTTGTGCAGCGCTCTCTCTAGGAGGGGGCATAAGTCTTGGATTTTGCTCTTGTCTTCTCTTGGGGATGTGGGTTCCAGGACCTGACACAGCTGTATCACTTCTCATCTCTTACAAGTAGTCCTTGCATTTTTCTAGAGAAAAAAGTTTCTGGATTGATGGAAGAGAAAATGACAAACTTGAGGCTGGTATAGATGGAGACTGGCCCTGGCTTTGGAAGACTGTAGCCTGTCCCCGGCCAATACACCAGATGTGGCCTTTTCTTGGCAGCCAGTTCTGTACTGTGCTGTGCTGTACTTCACAGGAAGGCTCTTGTCAGCATTGCGAGTCACTTACAGAACTAAGGCCACACCTGGGTGACCCTGTGCTAGCCTTCAATCTAGGCTCAATGTCGTTTGCCCTTTCTGGGCAGGGAAACAGATGGTCAGAAAGTTGTGGGTTAAAATTTTTTTTCACATATATATATATTTTTTTAATTGTTGAAGGAAATGAATCAAGAGCAGGGACAGGAGTTTAGGTGGCTAGGTAGAATATCTTTAAAGTTCTTCTCCTCTTGTAACTTAGAAAGTTGGATTGTTTCTAGCTCTTTCCCCTCTTCTGGGTGGCTCACCCTCTCCACCCTTCCAGATCTAATGCTGGATCTCTGCTGGTGGTCTGTGACAAGACAAGTGATTCAGCCACACTGGTCTCCTTGACATACTATCCACATCTCTTTGGACCCTGCATCAACTTATTGCTTCCCTCAGCTGTAGCTTTGGCCACCCCAGGTGGGCCCATGTGTGAGGTGCCATATAAAAGCCAGGTGAGCCTTGCTTCCAACATTCTCTGCTGTCACCAGATATGCTGCTATAGGATGCATTCCTTTCCCTCCATCACCTGTTGAGATTGGCCCTATGTAACCCACATCTTTGGGGTACTGAATGCTGCTTTTCTCCTGGCTCATTTAGTATGGCAGCTTTTCAGCCATGGGATCTGCCATGGCTGTGAGAGTGGTGCTTAGCTCTGTTTACTTCATTTCATGGAGAGGAAGGCTCATCTGTAGAAACTGGGCTAGGGAGTGATTGTGGGTGTCCTCATGGCCTGCTTGCCATCTCGCAGGATGAGGGTGGGCTCTGGCTGGCGAGTGGTATCCAGAGGGACTTCTTCCAAAAGCACATCAGGGCTCAGGTGGGCAAAGTGACTGCTCAGTCCAGGTGGGAGCAACCTGCTATTGGGCAGACATATACTTTAGCCTCTACCAGAGCCCCAGAGCATCTTTGCATTCAGGCCTTTCACCCTGGATCCATCTGTCTGGCCCTGTTGTGCTAAACTTTTGGTTCTTAAGTGGTTTGTTAGGGCCCAGCCACTCCTTTCGGAGACTGGTCTTCTTACTCCATGCTAGGGCAAGCGCACTGCCAGGAACATTGAGGTTCTTGGGCCCAAATGCAGTGATATCCTTGGGGGTTTGGCCTGGGGTTGGCCTCAAGCCATCAGGCCCCCAGCCCAACTGCTGTGGTAGGGTCTTCCTGCCTTGTGTTGTAGTGTTCTGGTGGCAGGGCCTGTTAGGCTTGCTTCTCACCCACTCACAAGCAGACAGAGCTCTGACTGGGAAGGAGTGGAGAAGTAAGTATGAACTGAAGCTCTGGGCTGTTAAGATGGGGCTCCCTCTTAAGGAATAGTAGGGTGGTCTGGCTTCACTTCAGCCCTTCCTCAGCTCCAGGACCAGGGTACAGGAGGCAGCCATGTGTGGTCGTGGGTAGAAAAACTTTCCCCATCACACGGTTACACACGTGGCATTCAACACCTGGCTGTAGCTCGCTCTGGTCTGGTGATGAAATTAGCTTTTAGAAGTCTATTTAAAATATCCATATCTATTTATTGTGTTTTCCTGAATACACAAGTGTAAATAGCATAATTTTGCAGTGCAAAGTCCTTGGCAATAACTTTATGTTGTGTGTTATGTTAAAAAACTTTGGAAACCACATCTACCATGGACTGTCTGCCCCACTGGGGCAATGGTCACATGTAGAACTGAACTTGACACCGTCAGCGTGGTTGAAGCAGCAGCCTGCATGTGTGGACTCACCAGTGCCTCGCCCAGAGATGCCTGGCCTTCACCCAAAGGGACCCTGCTGCCCCGACTTCCACAGGCAGCACCCACACTGTGGCTACTTTGTGCTGAGTATGTTGGACTCTGCTGTAGACTGATAACTCTTGTCTGGCTGCTGCAGTTTGTCTGTAATGCCCTGACATGTTGCATTACCCCTCTTTGGATGAATAAAAATAAATGCTTCTGTGTTAATGGCAGTGGACTGAACCATTCTGTGCAGGACCCACCCTGGCGGAACAGAGACTCTGGCTCAAAAGATTCAAGTGCTGGCCCCTCTCACCTGGCCTGCAAGACCAGCTCAGTACGTCTCACAAGATCTTCCCTCACATACAGGATGAAGGGCTCCTGACAAAGCCAGTGGGACCAGAGCTTATTTCATGTTCTTGTCTGTGGTCCTTAAAATTCTGCTCGTAAGTGAAAAACTTCAAGCTGGCAGCCTGGCTCAGTGAGTGGGAGGTCAAGAGTGCGCCTGGAGCTTTTCACACCCCTCACAGTTATGTCCTCAGGACCATCCCAGGGGTTGGCAAGCCTCAGATGAGATCAGGAACCCAAGGCTCAGAGATAAAGGGACTTGCCTAAGAGCATCAAGCTTCTAGAAGGCAGCAGCAATGGGACTCCAAACCTGGAGCTCTTGCTTCTGCTCCTGCCAGTGCCTGCTCTGCGGTGCCCCTGCAAGGTTCCTGTAAATGAGCAGCCCTAGGAAGCAGAGCCCAAGACCAGGGTGAAACTCCTGCCTCTGCCTGCAGGTAAGTGGGGAGCTGAGTGGACAGTGGCACTGGGTGCTTGCCCCACTTTTCCCCTGCACACCATGAGTTTGGCTTTCCAGCCATGCTAGCTAGCATTGACCAGAAGAGCTGACCAGGCCAGCCCACCTCTGCTCCTTCCATACAGGGTTTGCCTTTCTGGGCCTAAGGGGAAGCCAGGCTTTCTTGTCTGTAGAAACAGGCTGTTGAGGGGGGCCTGGAGAATAGGAGGGGGCAGGCTTGTTTTTCTTGGTCTTGAACCCCTGAAGAGAAGGTCGCAGTCCTTCATGGCAGGGAAAACAGGATCCCCAGATTGTGTGGCTACAAGCAGACCTTCACTTTGAAATTTGGCAGTGATATCCTAATAATTGTCACAGCGACTATGGTGAGGGAGTACATGAGTCAAGAGCGCCACAGCAGCTTAGCAACCTGAGAAAGGTGGAGCCTGCTGCACAGAAGGGAAGAGATGTATCCAAGGTCATGAATGTGTGGTGCAGAGCTGTCCATGTGGTCATCTTGAACCAGCTGTCCTGCTGGAGTTAATACCTCAGCCTGTGTGGCCTGGGCCCTATGAGCCCCAGCTTCCTCATCTTTAAGCAAGCAAGCACCTTAGTCATTACTCTGCGTGGCTCCAAGCTTCATGTTTGTCTGCTCCATCTCCTACCACCTGCCCCTAACCCCATGAGTCCAAGAGTAGTCCCAACGTCAGCATCACACACAAATCTCTTGTCTCCTAAGCCACTAGGGGCCCAAATTACCTACCATACCCCTTTGGCAGAGGCTCTTGCTTTTGCAACTGTTGAATCAATTGAGAACAAGGAATGCTGTAGACCTACCTTGAGCCCTCATGGATTCTCCTTTCCTTCTCCCACTGCTCACCCACTGCCACTAGGGTTTGAAATTTTGACATATATATATATATATATATGGACTACTTCACAAATTTGGGTGTGTGTCATCCTTGTGCAGGGGCCCTGCTGACATTCTCTATATCATTGCAATTTTAGTATATGTGCTGCTGAAGGGGGCACCTGCCTTCTTCCCCTGGAGTTACTGACGGTGCCCTGCATCAGCTCAGCTTGCAACAGGGGCTGCCGGATGCAGCTTGGCCTGTGTCATATTCTCACCACCTCTCAGAGCAGCCTGAACTGTGTCCAGTGTCAAAAGCAGAGCAGGAATTCCCAGAATTGCCCTTCCTCCTGCCACAGGTCTCTGGCCACTTGCTGCCCTTGGCCACTTTGTTCATAGCCAGGCTCCATAATATCTGTGTGTGTGCCTGGCTCTGCCTCCTCCCTCCCCATTCCTCGCTTCCACTGTGGTAGCCGCTGGCAACCTCCCCAGATCTAATGGTCCTGTAATGAGCTGCCCTCAGTCCAAAACAGTGCCCACTCCTGGGCCTGTGTAGCCCATGCTTAACCTGTGTCTTATCTGCAGTCTCTTCTGTTCTCCTGCCTAGAGGTTACAAATTAAAGGAATGACTATATGGAGTGACTGCTCCCAGCCCACAACATCTGGTAACACCTGGGGGTTGTTTCCGGGCTGTGGCATCCTGTGATGCTGGGCAGGGGCCTGTGATGCTGCTCAGCACTGCTGCACAAGCTGACCTTTACCACTGTCAGCCAAACGTCTGTGCTGGAGTTCAGAAACCCTGGGCCACAGATTCCAGACATCTCCAACCTGCATGTCCCAAGGGATCTCCAAATCCACGCACTTAAAAGCTACATTTATTTTCCTGGTGTGTTTTTTCCACTCACCAAGTTTCCCTGACTCCATTCTCTGTCATCCCTGCCCAAACTAACTTTTCCCAATTTTCTCCCTAAAGCATTGACGAGGAACATCCCTAAGAGAGTTGGTGTAAAACTCTCCAGGGTTCCCTTCCAACTTCTGGTGTGGCCTCAAATTACCCAGTTCCATTTCATCACTGTCTCTTCTAAGACAGTTGTTCCAAATTCCATCATTTTGCTCCTTTATCCAGCAAATCACCTAGTCAAAATACTGTGCAAAATGCTGTGGTACGATCATCTTGTCTGCCCTGAAAATATACTTTTAGTGGCCTCACAGGGTTCTGTACCTCTGGAAGTACTTACCATTTGGCATTGCAATTATTAATCTCTCTCTAGTCTTAACCAGGGCCCCGTCCTGAAAGGGGGACACTCATCTGAGTTATGCAATCCTTTTATGGGGCCAGGGGAGAGCTGCAGGGATCAGGATTTCTACTATACTGCTCAACATGGGACCTTTGGGACTGGAAAAGCATGAAGCAGGCTGGCCAGCAATAGACCCCAGAAATATTCCCTCTAGCCTGTGAGCATTCAAAGGACCCCAGCTGTGAAACTGGCCTGGCCTCTATAAGAACACCTGCATGGGCTCCCTTTCTTTCTGAAGGCATAAAGCCGTGGTCTCTGGATTTGGATCTGTTTCCATTCAAAGGCTATGTGTTAGGGGAGCAGACATTGGAGAGCAGGTCAAACGGGGAGAGAGACTGAAGCAGGTATGCTGAAGGACCACAGTGAGGAGAAAGCCATGCTACCAGTATCCCTAAGACCTGGCAGAGCACACCTGGGCCCTGGGCCCTGGTTACTTTAACTACTTACTGCTCTCTGGCTGTTGCCCTGTCATTCCCTCTCCCCTCACCACACAGAGATGCTTTTGTGTTTTCAGGCCTAACTCCACCCTTCCTTTCCTCTCTCCTGTAAGACCCTCCCTGGACCTCAAGGACTCCTAGGTTTCCATCTGTTTCAGTCACCGAAGTACTGCACTCCACAGCAACTGTAGGGACTCCCCCCTCTGCTGTGTCTTCTCCCCCGTGCAGCCTGGCATACCTCAGGTACATGCCTGTTGGTGGGCAGAAGGTGCTGCCTGATGCTTACACAAGACAGTGCAGTCTTGTCCTCTCTTGACTGACTCCTGTGCTGTGTGGGATGAGGAAGGGAAGAGGAACATGTAAAGAGAAAACTGGATTTTACAAAGAAATGCTGTTTGTACCAAAATATTTAATGAATATGCTGTTAAAATAAAACCAACAAAAGAAATAGTAATACAATTTTACTGGTTTATATTTCAGTTCGTAAAGTTGACACACAAACTACCTACCCTAGCACAATGTCCACACACCTAGGATTAGATGGGCTTACAGCTGTTTTGATAACTGAATAAGAAAGACACAGAAAGCAGCAGAGGGGATGGTCGTTGGTGTTGGTGGTGGTGGTGGGGTGTTGCCACTTGTTATCTCCCTTCTCAGAAGACCTCAGCAAGCGTTAGTACAGCCAACAGGAAGAGAGATACAGAACAGCAGCCCAGTGTCTCTATATACAACCAGTGCCTCCTGTCACCAGCCACCTCTGCACTGAATGCCAAGAAGAGGACAATCATTTTGCACACAGCCTGTCAGCATTTCACTATATAAATTAAAAGTTTTTTGTCTTTTGCTTTTTAATAAAAAAGGTGCTAAAACCTCCATCATAGCTTTGAAATGAGAACCTGCAGCCCATCTGGACAATGAAGTCTGTGCCCAGCCACACATTCCCGGAGGGCTCAGAAGCCGAGTCAGGAGGGACTAGGCCAGGAGGGTGGAGACCTCAAGGCCTGTGCACGCTCACATTTACATAAATACAGTGCAGTCCTCACTTGTACAGCCTGTTGTGCAAACACACTAGGAATCTTGGAAGTGAGGGCCCTTTTCACAGTTCCCACGGTGGCAGGGAGGAAAGCAGGGCCCAACAAAACTCAAGTAAAAGTAAGTGCCAAGTAACCATGTCAGTAAGTTGAGCAGATCAGCAGTCCTAGTCTGGGATTTAAACACTGTCAGCTGGGTACATTGGGGAAGATATTTATATATATATACATGTACACATGACACATTAAGCAAAATAAGATTTGTCCACATTATGATTAATCCAGCTTTGCAAGTCACATCATCCACCCAGCCTTGTGAAATCATTTTGGCAGCTAATGCTAAAAACAGGAACTACGAGAATTGCATAGAATTTATCAGAAACATGTGAATAATACTAAACCAAAAACCTGTCTCTCATATAGTTTAGTAAAACTAGGTGGCTTCGGCTATAACTAGGAAACCCTCCTGTTAAAAACAAAGTGCTTCTCATGTCTACCTGGGGACCACCTGCTGGCACAGACGGATAAGAATTATTTTAATTTTTGATCCCTGCTCCCCCGCCCCCATGTATATAATGCATATTAAAAAAAATTGGTTTAAAAAAAATCAACACACTGAAGGATCCCCAAATGCTGATAATGTAAATTCAGCCTTTAGGCTGGGTGAGGTGTTGACCTACACGGAAGGGGCCTGGGAGGTCACACTGAGGAGTGAGTTCTGGTGTGTCCGGAGCATCAGCTAAGTTGGCAGGCCTGCTGGTATCAGCAGTTAGGAGAGCCTTACCCAGAGCTGCCTGCTCAGGAGCCCTGGTCCAATGACCTACCAACGTACGTGAACAGATTTGAATTAGGTACATTCTGGTCCTGGGACATGTCACAGAATCACACATCTGGCCAAAGAAGGCAACAAAAGGTGGCATGTTTTCTGAAGGTGTTTGGAGGCAGCCCGGGCTCTCAGCAAGTCTCTTTCCCTTGAACGCCGGTTGCCGTCTTTATGGAACTCAGGGTTCGGTTAAACCAGGTCTTCTTAGCTGCCTGTACCTCATTGAGAGCAAGGCCTAAGTGGTGCTCCAAGTCCTGTAGGAGGAAAGATAAATATGAGGATCTCGGCTTTGGTGTCAATGACATTGCCTCCCCAGAAGTGAGCCAGGTAAAAGTTACATCTGAAAACTTCCCCTGCTTCAAGCTGGCAGAGGAAGGTTTGTAATAGCTAGAGATTGGGGAGCTTTCCTAGTTAGACCTCTGTCTCTTGGGATTTGTTACCCGGGGTACTTTACCACTGAGTTACATTCTCAATTTTTTTATTTATCTGTGATGGATTCTTGCTAACTTGCTGAGGCTGGCCTCAAACTTGTAATCCTTCTACCTCAGCCTCCTGAGATGCTGGGATTTCAGCAATGTGCCACTGTGCCTGGCTAAACCTTCATTTCTTTTCTGGTGTATTTATTAAAACCAATGGTCTGTTAATTGAATGTCTCCCCCTTCTATCCACGAAGCAGACAGCTCATTCTCTAGCTCTTGATTATACCATTAATTTCCAACTAAAACTTTTAAAGTGCAATTGAAATGCTTCATACCCTGGGCCCACATCTTCTCTCCCAGTCTTAGCGCCCACCTCCATCCCCTCCTCCTACATGGAAGGTCTCCCATAAGACTGTCTCCTCACTGGGCAGTCCTCTCCTTCCTCTGGCTGTGGAACAAGCCACTCCTGACCTCCTGCCTTGGTGCTCGTGCTTCATTTGCTGCAGCTGCATGCCCTGGCCATTCTCTGACCACAGCCCACACACTGACTGCTGCCTTGGGGATGCCTTTCCTGATTGTCCTGGGCAGTTCCATGAGCCAAGGCTTAGCTCTGCAATCCCAGACCTAGAACAGGAGAACAGGCCTGGCAAAGAGCAGGTGTCTGGGGACAATATACAGTGGGAGCGCAACTGCTGCAGCTCCGGACCTGAACTGCACCGAGATAGATACTGACCACTGGCATTCTTCCAGGAGGATTATGATGAAAAGTTTAAAAATGATGAAAAAGAACCTATGCTATAAATGTCATTTCTGGGGCTTTTCATCCCCTTCAGGGAATCTGGCCCACAGCGTGCATCTGAGTGCCAATGACATTACCTGGATCTTGCACTCAGCTTCCACCAACTGGAGCTTGGTTTGTGCCAGTTCCAGTTCCATCTCTCTCAGCTGGTTCTTGAGGGTCTCCTTCTCTTCATCTGTGTCCTCATCTAACATCTCCTTGGTTGAGCTGATGCCCTTCACATGTCCTTCTTTGTTGAAAAATTCCCGGCAGCGCTCACAGTCATCCACCTTTTGCTGTAAGTGAAGTCAGAGATAAAGAGGCAAAGAAGAGAAACCAGCCCTTGGGGACGCTGTAAGCACCTCCCCTGGGGGCAGGAGATCCATGAAAGGGCATCTCTGTTGAGCTCCTAGCTTCTGACACCTGGCTTTCTTTGGAAACTGGCAGACAACCCACTGGGAAAGCTAGCCCGGTAGTGTACACTGAAAGAAAACAAATATTCTTGTCTTGACCCAGCAGTCACATTTCTGGGGACCCAGCTAAGAAAAGGAAGCAATGACTAAACAAGATTTACCTACAAGATTTCACTGCAGAACTAGGGATAGGGAAAGGGGGGAGGGCTCCAACGATCCAAGAACTGGGAGAATGAAATATACTGTGCTATGTTTGTTCATGGAAGAACACGGTTGCTAAAAGGTTTGAGAAAGACTTCCTAATATGGGAAAATGGCTAAATGCTAGTTCAAAGAAATAGGTCACAGAAATATATATAAAATATGGTCACCAATAATATCCCATGTCATCAAAACAAGGTGCCACTGACTAATAAACATTATTTTATGTTCCTCTTAAGAAAATATTTTGTCAAGTAAGCCACAAAAAGCTAGCCATCATAAAAAAGCTCAATTTTAGCAATGATAATGTGAAATAAATATACATTAGAAGTTATGAAATTTTACATGTTATAGGAAACAGAATAAAGACTGAAAAAAATATACACCAAAGTGCTGGTAATGACTACATTAGGGGGTGGGAGTATAGCACAGGGGTGGGGTACATATTTATTAGCACTGTGCAAGTTCCTAGGTTCAATCTCCAGTATATATACAAAAAGACTCTCATTGGTGGGTAATAGCATTATAAGGGTTTTTCAACATATTTGCTCTCATTTCCCTAATTTTCTGAAAGCGCATTATTAAAGTTTTAGAATCAGAATATAAATGGTATTTTAAAATAGATGCTTTTGGTTAAACAATACTTAACAATGCAGGCTGATGCCACCTTGCTCTGGATGTCATGGTGATTTTTGCAAACATGGCTACGGGCATGAAACTTTACTGTCCATTGAGTTGTACATGTTAGTACAGCATCTTTATCACTCACCTTGTTAAATCTGACAAGAACTCTAACACAGATACAGCTTAAAGAAAGTATCAAGTGATGAAATCTCCCTATCTTGGCAATAAAATATTAAAAAATTAAAGTCTTCCTGATAATTTACATCTGCTACAGCAGAAAGGAAGGGAGGATTTCCACAGAAACTGGTGGAGGAGGAGGGTTAGCACATGATCCTGACCTCTGCACCCTGCCCACTGTCCTCCCCATGACATTTGAAAATCCTGGGGCACTTGTAGTTTGAGACATAGAGCCAGACTCCCTGGGTTCCATCTATCCTCCCTTCCAGAGAAACAGGCAAAATATGAGTTGATAAACACCGAGCCAGGCTGTGACAGGGACTGCGTCTACTCCTCAGCTTCTCACACTTAGTAGTTCAATGCACCTCATAAAACCTGCTGTGCTGAATAAAGCTATAAAATGAACTAGGTCGTGTACAGTTTCTTTGGTAAAGGAAGTCTTACCCGAATTTTCTCAATTTCCACTTTATTAGCGGTCTGCTGCTTCTCCAGTCTTTCACTCAACTGAGAACAGATCTGAAGAAACAAAGAGAAAATAGTAATCTTTGGAGCAGTGCAGTCATGTATAGTTTGGCCTTGGTGTACATTGTACAGTGGGCAGTTGGAATATGCCAAATGGAACTAACACAGCACTGAACAGGCTGTATCAGGAGGGGTGTGATCAGGAGGGGTGTGAAGTTGAAAGACTAGCAGAAGCTTCTCCAGCTGTGCTGCCTTTGCATCACCAGGGCTTGCAGGAATCTGCAGATGTACTCAACAATCAGTGGTTTTGGAACATTTGCAGACATGAAATCCTGGCATAGGAAGGAGCAAGCTTAATGCAGTGATAGTTCAAAACTCAACCAGAGAGAACTGGTTTCTAATCGCAAGTAAAACTAAGTCCATAATATTACTCTGAAATGCCCTGAAACATACAGTGGTTTTAATTTATTAAGTACCTACTATATGATGGGCACCATGCCAGGTATTCTATGAGTCTATTACTCTGAATCCTCCTAACAGCACTTTGAGACAGGGATTATTTTTCTTATTTTACAATTGACATTAAGGGGAGAGCAAGGGGAGGGTACACGGCCAAGGTATAGGGACCCACCTGCTTGTAGTCACCAATGATAGAACTGTTTTTTTTAATCTCAGATTCTGCCTTGTCAAGTTCCCGACGGCACATTTCCTTTAACTGAACACATAAGAAAACAAAAATGGATGTTTTAAGAGAAATAACTAACTGCTTAGTGCTGGGCCTTCCAAAAAGTACCTCGATCAACTCAGGAAGGGCTTGAATTCCCACACCTTCTTTCTCTGTCCTTAATCAATTGTTCTTGTTGTTGGGAGAGGGACAAACTTCCCAAAATGCCAACCCCACTTGCAACTGGGGCTTTTGCTGAAGTCCTTCCTGCTGGTGCTACTCCCCAAGCTGAGTGTCACCTTAGCTTAGGAGGAGCACAAACCAAACACAGAAACAAGCTAATGCAATGGCTGCAGCTCTCCTAGCGCCTTGCTGTTAACTCAGAGAGCCTTTGTCACATTCAGCCCAGTCAGTCCCACCTGCCATGGGCAGGGTATACCACCCCTGAGAATTGTGGGGAGAGAGGGCAGGGGCTAGCTCCAAGGTACATGGCACCCACAGCTCATCCAGTGACTACGGCTGTGTGTCCTAGTAAATGGTACCCTGAGGGAGACCTCAGAGGACAAGGTACAGAAAAGCCAGACATTTCCTCTTCTGTGACACTCCTGTGCTGATGCACAGGAATTTTTCTGAACCCAACAAAGGACAGGCTTTGGCCCACTGTCACCTCCTCAACTGTAAGAACCATTACACTTCACAGACTAAATATAGAAGCCCATTGGAGAGAACCTAAAGTCAGCTATCTCCAGGTTCTCCTGAACTCCCACCACTCCAGCAGGGCAGGCACTAAGCAGCATGGCAGGCAAAGCTTCCCTCACCTGAGCAGACTCCTCTTCCAACCGTCTCTTCTCTTCTTCTGCATCAATCAACTTCTGTTTAGTCATCAGTAGCTCCTTATTCAGTGCATCAGCCTTTTCTTCCGCCTGTGATATTTAAGATGTGCTGTCACAGTAGAGAACTAAGCACTGAAGAGGGCTTAAATTACTGAGCACAATCCGATTTTAAGACAGGGAAACCGATCCACATAGGGGAAACCACATGCCCACTCTCATAGTGAGCCTCAGCTCATGTACAATGGTGGGCCAGCCTCCCACGGGGAGTGCATATGGGCCAGGAGTGCAGCTTTGGGTAGCAAACAGGCTGGCTCAACTGCCATTGTTCACTGACGAAGTGCCAGACACGCCACGGAGAACTCTAAACTTCGGGTTCTCTGAGAGACAAAGCATTAAAAGTATTCAGCATAGTGCCTAGAATAAGTGAACTCTCAATAATAAAAGATCCCTGTCATCTTTTTCTTTTTCTGGTACTGGGAATTGAATCCAGGGTCACTTAACCATTGAGCCACATCCCACCATTCTCAGCACTTTTTATTTTTAATTTTGAGGCAGGGTCTTGCTAAGTTGCCGAGGCTGGCTTTGAACTTGTAATCTTCCTGCCTCAGCCCCCTGAGCCACACTGGCATCATTTTAAAATTTTTTTGTGGTACATGGGTTTAAACCCAGGGATGCTTTACCATTAAGCCAATCTCCAGCCCTTCTTATTTGAAAAATTTTGAGACAGGGTCTAAGTTTCTTAGGGTCTCACTAAGTTGCCCAGGCTGGCCTCAGACCTGCAATCTTCCTGCCTCAGCCTCCCCAAATTGCTGGGATTATAGGTATGTGCCACGATGCCTAGCTGTCATTGTTTTGAACAATAATAATACACTCTGGTTTTCTTCTTCCAAACTGTCTGTATTTCCTGTGCTTCATCCAATAAGTTCTGCATTTTGCTGTTAAGGTCGCCCCATACAGGAGGTTGCCTCTTTCCTGGCACTTTCTTTTTTCTTACTTTCAATGACCACATTTTACCCCAGTCCTTTTTTCTAATACATGCAAACATCTGGTGGGCATCCATTGAAAAGTCATATCCTTGTGTCTGATGTCTGAGCTCCTGACACTGGTCCCTCCCAGGAAAACTGAAGAATGACCCCCTAAACCATGCTGGAACAAGGAAAAGATCTAGATGAGAGGGTCTTTGCTCCCCAGGCTTCCTCCAACATGAACAGATTTCCAGAAAACTGGGACCTTAGATGAGGAACTGAGAATTAGTATGACATGCAATTCAAAAGTCCACTATGTCTGGCAAACTTGACAGGAACATAATTAAATGGGATACCAGAGTTAAGAGCTGCCCTTTCTGGGGATAGCTTGCCATCTCCTCTAGCTCAAGCCCAATGCACAATCAAAGGGGGAAATGAGGAGACTCAAGCAGCAGGGGAAACAACTAGTAAGTAGAATGAAGACTAATTAAAGATTTTTATTCCATTTTAATCAAAGGAACCTATAATTTCTGCTTTAGACTCAGTTAACATCTTATGCACCACGGTGGAGCACCTGGGTTGTGCACTGAGGTTTTCTCCTGTGTCACCACTGCCAGAGATGATGATCACTACTGGGACTCTCGGAGGGACAGAAGCACCAGGTGAACTGGGTCTTCTAACTCAGGAGTGCCCACCCTGAAGAAGAAAGGTGAGGAGGTTCCGCTAGGTTCTCAGGGTCCACCTGGCACAGCTCCTGCCTCCAATTCACCAGACTCTGGGCCCAGCATCTGTCCCAGCACTCCCAGAGCTGCCTCTCAGCACTGTGCCATTTGGAAGGTGCACAGAAGTTACTGATCTAACCAGCATCTTCTGATAGCACCACACTCATGAGCAAATGAGAACATCTGGGTCATAAACACAGATCCAGACTTCTAGTCTAGGATTAATAGGGATCAGATTTATCCTCCCATCGTCAACAGGAAACTGGGCAAAATATATGAAGCAACTATTTTCAGATGCTGAAAACAATAAATGCAGAACTGTGGTTCTTAGGAGAAAAAACTGAAATGTGTGTACTACTCCCACTCTGGCTTCTGCCTGGGTTCTAAGCAGAGTGTAAGGGCCTCAGAAGGTCAGCACACTGTGGGGGGGATGGCTGAGGTGGCTTGGAGTTGTGAAGCAGAGCTCTGGAGAAGAGAAAATCATGCAACAGTACAGAAAACTGTAGAAAATCCAAAATTTTGTAAACACATAATTAAAGCAAAAAGAGAGGAAAAAAAGCAAGTAGGACAAACAGAAAACAAATTCCTATACACAAAAACTCATTTCAAATATAAAGACAAAGATGTTAAAAATATAAGGATGGAAAAAGATACATAGTGCAAAAGTTATACAGAAGTTAGAGCGGTTGTATACCTGCCAGATACAGTAGGTTTCAGAACGGTGAGTATTACCAGAGACAAAGAGGGTCCTAATGATATAAGAGTCACTACATGGAGAAGGCATAGCAATCTAAAATTTATGTTGAAGTTCAAATGATGTGAAGTGAAACTCCACATAATTGAAAGGAGAAATAGATAAATGCATAAATAGAGAAAGGGGACTTTCCACACTGCTCTCTCAGTCAGTAACAAGACACGTGGGGAGAAAAATCATTGAATCTACAGAAGGCTTAAATGTAGTCTTCAACCATCTTGCCTGACTGACACAGAGCAGCTGACCCACAGCAACAGGATCCACTCTCCACATGCAGAGTGGTGAGCCATGGGACTGCGTTCAAATGGAGCATGTCCTCCGACAACCAGAGAACTAAATTAGAAAATAAACACACATTATTTCACTTGTCTAGGTCAAAGACAAAAATCACAAGAACTAAATGAAAATAAAAATACAACACACAATGCAGTGAATATGGAGGGAAATTGTGCTTACATGGAGATAACTAACTTTTGAGTGCTTACTTCAGAAAAGAAAGGTTCTTTTGTGAAGAAGAAATGGAATTTTCAACCTTCCTCTTTGAGAAGCTAGAAAAAATGTAAATTAACCTAACAAAAATAGAAGGAAAAAATAAAAAGCAGAAATCAATGACAAACACTAGAGAAAAATCAATGAAACTAAAAGCTGACTTTTGAAAAGATCGATCCAACTGATAAAATTTCTAGTTACATTCAGGAAAAAAACCATAAGTTACTCAATATCAGGAATAAAAGAGGGACATCGCTTCAGACTCTATAAATACTCAAAGAAGGAAATAAAAAGTTTATATCACTGTACTTGACAACTAAGATGAAATGGATAAATTACTTGAAAGACAAACCATAAAAATGAGCACTGAAGAACCAGAAAATCAGGGTAGCTTTATTATCCAAAAAGAAATTAAATTCACAGTTAAACAGGTTTCTATAAAGCCAATTCCAGGCCCACATGACCTCAATAGGGAACTAAAGATTTAATCAAAGAACAATCCTTTGTAGAGTCCTTAAGAAAACAGGAAGGAACACTTCAAGCCTAGTTCATTCTATGAGAGCAAAACCAGACAAAAACATTACAGAAAATTCCAAACACTCCTGATGCATATAACACTGAAAAAATTAAAATGTTTAATAAAAAAAATAGAAACTCCAACTGGGCTTATCCTAGGATTGTTTGGGTGGTTTACACTTTAATTTACTTCACCATATTAATAAAATTAAGGAGAAAAACTAAGTAACAAGTACTTCTACAGATGCAGGAAAAGCATCTGACAAAGTTCATCATTCATCATGACAAAAATTCTCAGCAAAGAGGATCAGAGGAGAACTTTCTCAGCCTGCTCTGTGCAAAACCCATTGCCAACATCTGGAAGAAGGCAACGACATCTACTTTCTCCATGCAACAGTGCTCTGAAGATCCCAGTAAGGGCAGTGAGGCAAGAACAGCTGGAAAGGAAGTGAAACTGTGATGACATGATTGTGTTGGGGGAAAACCTAAGTGGTGGGGGGAAAAAGCACTACTAGATTAAGAAGTGATTTCAGCAAGATCAAAAATCAGTTGTAGGGCTGGGATGTGGCTCAGTGGTACAGTGCTTACCTCACACATGTGAGGCACTGGGTTCAATTCTCAGCACCACAAATAAATAAGTGAATAAAATAAAGGTCCATCAACAACTAGAAAAAAAAAAATCAGTTGTACTGGCTGGGCGCTATAGCACATGCCTGTAATCCCAGCCGCTGAGCAGGCTGAGGAAGGAGGATCACGAGTTCAAAGCCAGCCTCAGCAAAAGTAAGGCACTACGCAACTCAGTGAGTCCCTGTCCCAAAATAAAATACAAAATAGAGCTGGGATGTGACTCAGTGGTCAAGTGCCCTAAGTTCAACCCCTGGTACCTGCCCCCTGAAAAGAAAAAATCAGCTGTACTTCTACAAATTAGCAACAATTGGAAAATGTAATTAAGAAAACACCACCACTGATAACAGATTATTAAATCAGGTTTAAGTCTTACAAAACTGACAACTAAAAAGCAAATAAGAGAGGTAAATAGGGAGCCTACATCATGGGAACAAATCTTTACTCCTCACACTTCAGATAGAGCCCTAATATCCAGAGTATATAAAGAACTCA